AAAACAAAAATACAAGGTTACGACAAGGATTAATAATCATAAAAGCCTGGTCGAAACGTTGTACATTTGCTGTTATGTTAAACTTATATTAAAGTTTTCCTTCATTACCCATTCAAGCGTCTCCCGCCATTATTAGTCTCAAAGTGGGTTCCTCGTCATCGAATTTGAGTGACTATTTATTTGCATTTACGATCACCAGTCAGACCATCAGATGTTTTAAAAATGAAATGCAACTGAACAGGCGATTTGCATTATAGCAGTGGTTTTGCCTTGTCATGACTATAATATTACAAATTTCAATCTTCCTACACTTTGTTTGGAAGTTTATGTTTCGCATTTAAAGATAGGCCTTAAATATTAAACTTGTACCTTCTTATTTTGAAACTAAATCGGTCCATTGATATAATATAATAGCAAATATTTGAAATTCATTTTGTCCAAACATTTACCACTTGGAGCATTCTTGAATAACCACAATATATTGACATACAAGTTAAAAATTAACTGTATTATAGAAATATTTCATTTTATCTTATTACCTTGGTTAACGTAAACTACCTAAAGTATACTTTTCTAAGGTTCTAAATGATTTCTTTCTTTATAAATTTTCAGGTTTGATGATGGCTACAAGTACGCCCATTGAATCTTCCCGTATAGCTCCATATATGAATGTCAGTAGCGCCGCCACTCGGCTGCCTCATGAAAGATATCTAACGTCTAACCGACACTACTTACAGTATCCTGACCCAGCATTTTTGGCGGCACTTCAATACTACTCAACAGGAGCAGGCAGTCACGTGACCCAAGGAAGCCCACGACCTCATCCAAGCTTATTCTTCTATCCTTCAGCTCATCCTTTCAGCCTTTCCGCACTGATGGCTGCTGAGCGACTCAATAACAAAAGCTCAAGTATTGCAGATCTGAGGCTCAAGGCACAAAAACACACTGCTTCCTTAGGAATTTAAGCCGCACCATATAACAACAAACGCCGAATAAGTTATATCTTACTTCTGTAATATATAACTCAATGTATGAAAATATCTATAACTGCTGAACACTTTTGGACCAATTTCGAAAAAACATTGTTTATGTTTAACCAATCAGGTTTGTAGTCAACAAGATAGAAAGCAACCAACACGGAGGCTCACGTTCCTATTTCTTGTCATTCCTTTAGTAGAGATTTTCATTATCCTGATACATAAACCAATTAAGGGTTGACATGTTCCTATTTATTGAAAGATATGTCTTGAAACTAATGTCTAATCGTTCCATTAAAGTAAGTTATTTGTATTTCAAAAGGCGTTTGTTGGTGTTCTAGATAAGGAACAAAATATAACAGGAAAACTCCGAAGCGTGTTTCATCAGTGTCACTTACTAACATACACAATAGTGAGTAATTGTGTTAAAGGGCTAGAACATCTATACACGAAATGGAAGATATATTCCAGTAAAAGATGTGTTAAATTACAGATATTCTGTGAATTTTCCTTCAGATCTCAATATTTAAATTCCCCTCAAAACTATGACTCTGTGCTGTAAAGATACGAGGAGGGATATATGAACAAAACATCTTCCCAAATATGCATGCAAAGATATAATGGATAGATTTCAATTTCTATACACTATTCTCATTCATGTACAATGTTTAGTAATAACAATGTAATTTTTTGTTATTTTACTCTATACATTCCGTGATACATGCATTTTATTTATTATTCAAATAATCAATGCAACTTATAAAGCTTGCATTATATGTATACAAAATAACACAATTTGATCAAACACCTCCAAGCTCTAAAAAGTAAAGCAAGCATGATATTCAGTAAAGAATGTAAAAACATGAGAGAAAATGGCTCAAGCCATTCAATTTGAGTTATTTCAAAATGAATATAATTGATATAGGTAACAGTATGACACTCGGTTTCAAAGTACAAATTTTGGATATAACAAAGTAAAAATAGACAAAAAGTATGTATGGGTTGAAAGATTCAACAGATTTCATCCCCATAGATCTTGTGTGAAAGCTTGCTGTCGTGGATCTTCATCGAGTAGAAGAGGGTAAGTTATGACATGAGGACGTAGCTTGATGTACCAGTCATCTTCCTCCATCTAAATCTTCTTTTAACCATCACATGTATGTGGTACAGAGATAACTAAAGCTACACGTGTATTCCTTCTAATCACATTTACAGATTATGCGATGTACATATTCTATTATTAAACAGGCTGTACTGGAAACATTACGAAGTTCTGAGGTGATGAATCTAACTGTATATTACGAATTAGACATCCAACCTCACAAAAATTTCACTAAATCGATCCATGTTTATAAGTCAATCTACGTTTGCGTTAATTGTCTACGACATTTTTATAGTGAACAATTATGCTACAATCATGCATTATTCATTCATATATACTAAATGTTTTTCCAATTGATAGTGAACAAAATGTAAACATTGTATAGATATATATGTATACTTTTATGCATTAGTTACGATAAATATTATTATGTAATTCATCATTTAAGATGATATCGTAATAGTACTTTCAAACGATTAGCTTATGCTACCTATTAGAAAGTTTCAAGAAATTAGTTTGTAGCTTCAATCTTAATTAAATTTATCACCGACATGCATATGAAATGTAGTTTTTAATTGTCATTTATAATGGCTAGTGATCGATGACATATTATGGAATCAACACTATTATTTGTATAGAAAGTAACTATAAAATAACATTCGCTAAATATGAATATATATAAATGTCTGACACAGGCATCAAACTTATTGTAAAAAAGACGCTTCTATAATAAGGAAATGAACTTTCATAACCCCTAATGTTAAAATGGGCATTTATAACCCGGGAAACATAAAATCTAAAATATTTAAATTTCTTGCAAAGAATAATGTATGCTTAGAATATTTTAATAAGAGAAAATAGTAAAGGTATAATTTCATCCTACACGGCCTGGCATGGCCAGGTGGTTAGGGCGCTCGACTCGCAATCTGCGGGTCGCAGGTTCGAATCCCCGTCACACCAAACATGCTCGCCCTTTCAGTCGTGGGGGCGTTATAATGTGACGGTCAATCCCACTATTCGTCGGTAAAAGAGTAGCCCAAGAGTTGGCGGTGAGTGGTGATGACTAGCTGCCTTCCCTCTAGTCTTACACTGCTAAATTAGGGACGGCTAGCGCAGATAGCCCTCGTGTAGCTTTGCGCGAAATCCATAACAAACAATCATCCTGCACTTATTAAAGACAAAGCTTATTTGTTGTTCTTATTGTTCTTAGCGATAGAAATAACACAAAACTGTAAAGCGATTAAAAAAATCTTACTCGAAACATTCTTGCGATATATCTAAAACTTCTGACTAGCAGTAAGGTTAGAATTATGAAGTAAAACCATCTTTAAGGCCTAAATCTTTAACATAATTGTATCTTTGAAATGATCTAACTTGTTCTGACTTGGACATGTAAAGCAGAACGGAAATCCAATTAACAGAAAGTAATGAAACGTTTCTGAGTCATAAATTTGTAACATTTTCTTTATTATTTAAGAACATTTAAGGAACTTGTTAATTGTCTACATTATTATCAACGTTGAACTGATTGTGCAAAAGCGTGTAGGCTCTTTAATTGTGAATTTTATGTCCATATGAGTTTCATATTTCGAAACATACACACTAATTAATTGATAGAAAAATGATTCCAAACTGGATGTAACTCATATCTTAAATATGTTATATAATATGGCCAGTGTATTTATCATGGTTATTACTGTTATTTACAGATTTTGAGTTTGGTATGACTTTTGCTTTAAGCTTAAGACAATTTTGTTTAATAAAGCTCTGCATTATTCTTTGCACGCTTGGGGTAAGAACGGTAAGAACTCCAACAGTTTCTCGATAAAATTAAGAAAGTTTCTTAAATGTAGGAATAAATTTTGGATTTAAAATAATTTAGGTCTTATATAATCGATTGGTTGTAATTATTTCCTAACGATAATCACATTCGAAAAACCAACAATTAGTGTTTTTATGATACTTCCATACATATAAATAATATTGGATATTGTGGATAGTTTAATCCGTGAAAATTCGTTGGAGTTGACTAAAGAAGTACAAACCTTAGTTACAGGTTTATTAGTATCCTCATTATGCTGAGGACACAATTGTGTGTTGTCAGGGAAATAATAACCAACTTTCTCGAAAAAGTGTTGTTTGCACTTGATAAATTCAACAAATAGAGAACGTGTTTTATCATATTATGTATCAAAATAAGGTATCTTGCGCACTTTGTGATTCAGTTTGTATACTATACGTAAATTTGCAGAGGATTATTATTTCTATTGTTAAGGCAGATATGTTTCAAAAGTAGATTCTAAAGTGTTTAGAATATTACTGGGTTTGAGGTTTTATTGGATTACATACGCCTAGAGAGACATAATGAAGTCGTTTCGGTCTGTATGCTG